ATGGAACTTAAAAGTGCAATTGGAAGAGATTCTAAGAAAAGAAGAGATTTCTTGGAGGCAAAAATCTAGATGTAAATGGCTTTTGGAAGGGGATGGAAATACCAGTTTTTTCCACTCTCTAGCAAATGGGAGAAGATGGAAAAACCAAATTTCCAGTGTAGAGGTGGATGGAAGAGTGGTAACTGCAAAAGAAGAAATTGAAAGATGCTTTGTGGATCACTTTAAGTCAATACTAGCATCCTTTGATGAAAACATGGCAGGATTGGGAGATTTACAGTGGGACAGAGTGCCAGAATCCGAAGTTAACCTCCTAGAAAGAGCCTTCACTATTGAGGAGATACATGAAGCAATATTCTCAATGGATAGATCTAAAGCATTGGGTCCAAATGAATTTTCAATGGCTTTCTATCAGGATTGTTGGCAAATTTTGAAAGATGAATTAATGGATGTATTTGTGGAGTTCTATCAAGAAGGAAAATTATCGCCTGTAGCAAATGCAACTTTTGTTGCTTTAGTGCCAAAAAAGGAGGCCAAAACCCCTAAGGATTACAGGCCGATAAGTCTTGTGGGTAGCTTGTATAAAATCATTGCTAAAGTCCTGACTGGTAGGTTGAAGACTGTACTGCCCTATATTATCTCTCAGAACCAAGGAGCTTTTGTAGAGGGTAGACAAATTGTGGATCAAATTTTAGTGGCAAATGAGTGTGTGGCAGCTAAGAGAAAATAAGGTGACAAAGGTTTGATTTGTAAATTGGACCTTGAAAAAGCTTATGATATGGTGGATTGGTTCTTCCTGTTGAATTTAATGGAAAAGATGGGGCTAGGTGAAAGATGGAGGATGTGGATTAAAGAATGTATTAGCTTAGCACATTTTTCTATTCTAATGAATGGGGTAGCAAAGGATTTCTTCCAGGCTAAAAGAGGACTAAGACAGGGTGACCTCTTATCTCCATTCTTATTCACCTTTGTGGCTGAGGTTTTGAGTAGACAAATCACCAAAGCTGATCAAGAAAACCAGTTTAAAGGTTGGAGAATGGGTCGATCAGAAGTGGTGGTGTCTCATTTGTAATCTGCTGATGACATAATTATTTTCTGTGAAAGCTGTGATGAAGCCAGCTTAAGGAATCTGAAAAGATTGGTGGATGAATTTCAGCAGGCCTCCAAATTGAAAGTCAATTGGGGAAAAAGCTGTGTAGCCGAAATCAACATTGAAGGGGGGATATCCAAGCCATGGCAAATCTGCTAGGTTGTGAAGTGAAAAATTGACCTCTGGAATACTTAGGAATGCCCTTGGGTGGGAATTCGAAAGCTGAAAGCTTTTGGAAACCGGTGATAGAGAGGTTCATGAAGAAGTTGGCAATGTGGAAGAAAAATTATATTTCCTTAGGGGGAAGAATCACCTTGATAAAATCAACCCTTGCAAACCTTCCCACTTACTTCCTTTCCACCTTTAAGATCTYGGTGAAAATAGCTAGGAAATTGGAGAAGATTATGAGGGACTTTTTGTGGGAGCCAGGTGAAGAAAAGAAAGATTATTTAGTGAAATGGGAGCAACTTTGTTACCTTGAGGACCAGGGTGGATTAGGTATAGGGAACCTAATAAAGAGAAACAAGGCCCTCCTAGGGAAATGGCTATGGRGATTCCCTTGTGAGGAAGAAAGGTTGTGGCACAGGGTCATTAAAAGCTTACATGATGATGTAGATAACAGCTGGGATGCAAAATTAGCCCCCAATGCAGCTCCATCCTCTCCTTG